AACCCATCGATGGCTAAGTAGGTTAGACTTATAAAGTTGCTTCAAGGAATATGTGTTAAATTACTTGCCAAGTGTCACACAATTAAGTATGTCAAGTGGAAAGGCAAAGATGGGATTTGAACATAGGTTGTCCTGATGCCAATCCCAGCACTCTATCTACTTCTATAACAAACAGAGGAATAATGTGTCTCTCCAAGTAATGTTGACAGAAGGATAATATCAGACTATCAGTCACTGTAGTAATTAACCACTTGAAGATACAAAGAAACAGTATCTTCTCTCTAAATGTAGCTTCAACTAGCCAGAATCATTTAAAAACACAAAGATTTTAGTTCTTGTCCCACATCCATCATTAACCACTGAGACTCTTTTGACAGTTATTAAATGTACATTTAATTACTAGTCATTTGCAGTTAAGTGAGAAGCAGTCTAATAGCAACAGATCACATCTAAAGGTACCAGAGTTCCCAAAACCCAAGTTTCTGAGGCTTACTGAAGTAATATAAGCTACGAAGGTAGAAGATACCCTCTTAGTCAGCAAAGTATGTGTAATTTACACCTAAGCTTGTGGGTTCAAAGGCCTAACATGCAATCTGGGATACTGGGTACCAACCATTTACAAACTTAATAATGTGAAGCTGAATTTGCACACTGGGAACTAAAATTGAAATGATGTTAGAAGTTTTGCCAAGATAACATTGTGGATGAAAACAGAAGGTTATAAATGCAGGAATTATCAATCTACTCATCATTCCATAGGGAATTTAAACTGTATTTGGAGTTAAAAATCAATACTACTATAACATCCTATACTTACTCACGCAATACACACTTACTAAGCACCGAATTACTAGGTGATAGGTCCTAAGTCAAGCACTGGGGAAGAGAAAGTGGAGAGAAGACAAAATCATTATCCATGTGGAGCTTATAGCCAAGGTTACCTGACATGAAAATTATACAATTTATGCTTATATGTGAGTGGATTGTACTACTATAAATGATGTCATTGAAGAAAGTAGTAGTTTCAGCCACTGATGCTCTAATGAATAGTGAAGTAGGTTTGTAATTGCCATTCTCCTTGGAAACTCTCCACTGAAGTCTTTTTTTCCCCTTCTTAGCACATAGACACATGTTTAAATGCTTTTAATTTTGAGTAGTCAAGCATATTTCTGAAAACAAAAAACCTCCAGGTTTTGGGCATCCAATATGTAGATTAATGCATGCAGACCACAGAATTTTACAGTTGAAGAGAACTGATGAACTATGAGCACAAAATGAAGCATTTTTGTTCACTTTCTTCATTTTTTCTTGCCTTTTTTTCCAACATGGCTAATGTGGAAATGTTTTTCATGACTTCATAGGTATAATGGGTATTATATTTCTTGTCTTCTCGATGGGTGGGGGCCAAGGAAGAGGAGAGTATTTAGAACTGAAAATGAAAAAAAAAACCCATTTAGTTCAATGCCTTTATTTTATGGATGAGCAAGGCCCAGAGGTCAAGAGATTTAAAACGACTTGGCCAGTCACACAGGTAGCAACCAGAAGAATTAGGATATTCTAGGTTGGGTCTGATTCAGGATTAGAATGAAATGAAACATTCCTAAACCACCTAGCACTGAGGAAAATGAAGCATGGAAAGGATATCCAGCAAGGATAAAGCTTTGGTTTAGTTGAACATGGCTACCCTGTCTCTGAATTTGCCTCTACATAATGGCATTCCTGGTCAGAAGCACATCTCAAGTCTGAGGAGACCCTGATTCTTGTTATGCTGGGCTTCTGTCCTTATGTGACTATGAAGCATCAATGGTTCAAGCCTTAGTGCCCAGAACTAAGCAGTCATCTGACTGCTTCACTGACTCTTAGAGAAACACTAAACTAGTCTACATGGCTGGGATGTTAGCAGATGTTCCTTCCACACAGAGTTAAAACTAGAATCTCCTCAGATTGAGGGCAGCGATACAACTGCATCATGAAGACAGAAGAATTCACAGTATAAAATAGCAATCTGAAAATGTAGTAAAACTGTAATAGAAGGATAAAGTTCTTTGAAGATTTTGGGAAATTTTACTTTAGTAAACTTTAGAGTAGAAATCTTTTTCTTAATAAAGAGAAATCTTGTGTCTTGAAGAACTACTTCACGTTCCCAGAAGTATCAAGAACACTTACACTTGATAAGAAAGTCTTCTGAACTCAACTATAGAATTCCTACTAAACTTAAGTTTCTGTTTACAGAAAATGTCTCATCCTTCCAAAAAGGCACTGCCAATTAGTATCCCTTCCTTTATCACTGGCATGGTTTTCAGGTTCATCTATGCAAGGTTTCTTTGGCCTGAGGGCCAATTCCCCACAGCCAATGGGGGGAAATTGTGTTATCTGAAGTAAGGAGGGCTCTTTTCCCTACCACCAAAGCCAGGGCTATGTAGTCTGGAGTAAGAAACATTTATATTACGTATTTCTTTTCCACCACTCCAGACAGTAAGGTTAGAACAAAAGGAATATCTTAAGCTGCTCTTAAGCAACTTCAGAAGGAGAATGTTACAAAAGAGCCATCTGTGTGTGGAGAAGGCAGGACACACAATCTTACCACTTTTTTTCTGCCTCTAGTCACTGTCCTCCTGAGTCAATGAATATCTCCCAGTGCCTAGATCCCCCCAGGACTCCAGGCTGGAGAGAAATTCTGATTTGTCCCTGCCCTCTATGATTCTGCAGCACAGATGGTTGGAAAGGGAGAAGTGGTGAGCTTCAAATCAGACTATTTCATACTCTTCAATCACACAGATAGAAGACTTAGGCCTAGGGCAAGATTAGCAGCACTTTTTAAAAATGTTTCCCATGGCCACTATTTAGCTGCTGAATTAAGAATCAGCTGGTACACATATGCACACATGCATATAAGCAAATTATGTTATTATAGCACAGGGAAAAAAAAGTCCAAATGATAACATGCTGGAAAGAACACTTGGTTTGGAAACCTGGGTTCATATCTAAGTTTGCCATGACTTGCAATGTGACCTTGTGTTTATTTACAACCAATTGTTGTTGTTTTCGCCTTTCTTTTTATCCTAGCACTTAGCATCATGCCTGGCACAATGCTAGTTGACTTTTTTTCCCCTCTTTTTTTTTTTTTAGGCAATTGGGGTTAAGTGACTTGCCCAGTGTCACACAGCTAGTGAGTGTCAAGTGTTTGGTCTGAGACTGGATTTGAACTCAGGTCCTCCGGATTTGACTTCAGGGCAGGTGCTCTATCCACTGCACTACCTAGCTGCCTCGACTTTTTTTTTAAAAGCCTATAGGGTAGGTAACTTTTTAAATGTAATTAGTTTTCTTTGCAATCTTATATTTATTTTGTGCATTTAAAAACATTTTTCATAGAAGGGGTCCATAGGCTGGACCAGTTTGCCAAATGAGGCCCATGACACAAAAAGGCTAAAAGCCCCCGCTATGAGACTGTCTTAATAAAACATGTAGGACCAGAGGTGATATTTCTGAAAGTTCAGGCAAATATCTCAACACAAACACAAACTTAATATTAAAGCCATGAAATTAGCTACATTTTATAAATCAGCATGCTCCCCTCCTGTTTATGAAAAGCTTTATTATAAAAAATGAGATAAGCTTCACAGGCATGCATGCTTAATACACAACCGTAGTCATATCTTCCAGGAAAGGCAATCAGTCACTTACTGCCATAAAAAGAAGGGAGCAAAATGACCAGATATGTGTACATTGAGACCATCACTGTTTACTCACCTGGGTCAGAAGACACACTTGAGATCACTTCCTTCTAAAGTTTACATCACAATGAGTCACTAAGGCCTAGGCTTCGAGTTCAGGTAAAAGGAATCCTTTCAGCTAATTCACAATTCTTTAATATGGGCACAGTGACATGCAATTTCACTTCTGAGGAGCAATGAACTAAATACCTGCCATTTCAGAGGAAGTGTTCTGATTTAAAAAAAAAAGTTTTCCCCTGCCTCCCAACTATGAGTACTGTCCAATGTTCTGTGCTGGGTCCCCTTCTCCCTCTATACTTTCAGTAATTTATCAGTCCCCATAATTTTTAAATCATCATCTCTATGCAAGTGAGGCTCAAATTTTTACAGCCAACCTTAGTCTCTCATCTGAGCTTCAGTCTCACAACAACAATTAATTGTCTATTTAGACATTTCAAATTGGATGTCCTGGAGACACTTTAAGTTGAACATCTCCAAAAATTGAACACATTATATTTTCCCAAACCCTTTTCCTTTTGCTATTTCTGTTGAAGGTACCACCAACTTTCCAGTTTCCCTGGTTCATAATAAGCTTTATCACTAACTCTCTACTCTCTATCACCCCACATAGCTAATCAGTTGCCAAATCTTGTAATTTTTACCTCCATAACCTCTTGCATCAGACCATTTCACTTTACTCACAAAGTTATCACATTAGTTTAGGTCCACATCAGCTCACTTCTCAATTACTGCAATGTTTAAATGATCTCCTTGAATAATCCACAGGAATCTGGCTATTCTTGTCTGGCCTTAGACACTTACTAGCTGCATGACCCTGGGCAAGTCACTCTACCCTGTTTGTCTCAGTTTCCTCATCTGTAAAATGAGCTGGAGAAGGAAATGGCAAAACACTCCAATATTTTTGCCAAGAAAACTCCAAACAGGGTCACAAGAGTCAGAGATGCCTGAAAACAACTGAACATTCCATTATATACTTGTGCTACAGATTTTTGACACCAAAAGTAAGACTTTATATTTGTCCCTATTAAATCTCTTGTTTTAAGATTTGGCCCAGCATTGTAGCCAGTGCAAGTCTTTATATGGAGCCTAAATGATATCTTAGGTGTTTGGTTATATATTCCTTCCATCTTTATGCCATCTGAAAATTTGATGAGCATGCAGTAGAGTGCTGATAAATGTTTAACAACCTGATTTTTAAAAAAAGTACACATAACATCTTTTAAGTTTAATCTGCATCATTAATATTTTCTCCATCACTTTCTTAAGTCTAGACAATCAACAAAACAATAAAGCAAGCCTTGATTTATTGCCAATTTGCCAATTTACAAGGAGTAAATGCTGACACTGAAGAGGTTTAAGCTGGCTCCAGCACACTCCTGTGAGTATACCACTATTCCTTCATCCAAGTCACTTATGACTTGGCACATGGCCAGGGTCAGACTGCTGGGTGGTTCCACTAGACGCTTCCCTTCAAAAGAATATCAAACCATCAATCACTACTTTTTAGCCACCTAAACAGCTACTGAATCAGAACTAAATCCTCTTAACTAGTTATCTAGACAATATCTTTCCATATAATCCACATGGAAAGTATTAGAGGCTCCATCATTTTTTTAAACCAAAATCAAGGTAAACTATAACTAAATATTCCCTTGATCTACCAGTCTAATAACTCTGTCAAAAAAGAGAAATTAGACTAGTTTGGTTTGACTACTTTAGGTGAAGTCCAAAGTTAGCTCTTGGTAATCACTGCTTCCTTTTAAAAATACAGATACACTATTCCTTTAATAATATATTCTAGAATTTTGCCAAGAATTTAAGTCTAGTTCATGGACATATAGTTTAGACTCTATACTCATTACTTTTTGGAAAATCAGGACAACATGTGTTCTTTTCCAATCCTATAGAGCCTGCCCCAGTCTCCATTTTCTTCCAAAGATGACTATTCAATCATATCTCATATAACTTGCTTTCATCTCTTAACTTTTTTAAAACATATGTCCCCCAAAGGTAAAAGAGCAACCCGCTAACCAAACCATGATTGTATCAGGTTGTCGAAAAACTTCCCTAGTTGGATGAATAAATGGATACCATAGTTCTTTTTTTTATGATTCAACACATAAAAGACCCTCGACAAGACTCAAGTACTATTTTTATTAAAAGCTGGCACAATTCATATGTCATTAGCTAGAGAACGAGGCTTTCCTTATGGAATCACATCCTTTTGCAGCTGGGAACCATCTCAGTTACCCTCTATCTACCTTATTCCACCATTATTGAGCTTCTTCCACCGACTTAAATAAAAATAAAAGCCAGGCTAAATGAACATATGGCAGAGGTTACTGCTCTTTCTGTATACTGTATGATATAATACAATACAAATGTCACCCTCTACACTGGTTCACCTTCTCTCAAAGTCTATCATACCACTGGCATGGGTAGTGCTTCATTTTGGGATAGCTGATAGTCTAGTCTCTATTTTATGTTTATCTCAAGTTTTAAAATCTTTAACTATTTGGTATATTAAAAATATTTATTTCTACATTTGCTTCTAGGTTAAAGTGAGGGCAATTCAGCGAATATTGTTAAATTCCTAGGGCCTATCACTTCCTCCTACCAGGAAACTATCCAACTTGGTTCTCAACCCAGGGAACTCTTTGATCACTAGTTAATCCATTTAGCTCAGCTTTGTATTGCCTATGGAAAAAGCTCATACTGAAGAAGAAAGGCAAAACTCATCTCAACTTGAATATACTTTAGCATAAATGTGTTTTCCTTCTGACCTTCAAGACTCCATTTGGGAGAAATATAAATCTCCAAACAACAGAGAAATTTGGTGAAGGAAAGAGAGAACAAGAGACAGACTTTTCAGAACTAGCACGTTATCTAGTAACTGTTGAGCCAATGTGAAAATTAAAAAAAATTCTCAGCTTTTGAAAGCACAAGAACATATAGTCCAGTGGAACTAGTTTTATTGCAGCTTTCCTACTTACTGGTTATCTGAAGTAAACATAGGTTTCATATTCTTTAGAAGCAAGTGTATTTCATATTTTTCTCTCTCAGCCAATCTGTTTCTTACCCAGCAAACCTACCCAAAGTGATTTAAATTGACTCACTGAATCTAACTAAAGCAGGAAGAGGCTTGAATTTTACCTGTTCCATCACTCTGCCAATGTCAGATAGAAATCTCTCATATTTTCAATCCCCAAAGAAGGAAATTCTGAAACTTGTTCTAGTAATCTAACAACTTACTATCCAGATATTCTTCTTAAGATTTAATTTAAGGGGGTAGCTAGGTGGCGCAGTGGATAGAGCACCAGCCCTGAAGTCAGGAGTACCTGAGTTCAAAGCCAGCCTCAGACCAAACACTTGACACTTACTAGCTGTGTGACCCTGGGCAAGTCACTTAACCCCGATTGCCAGAAAAAAAGATATAATTTAAATAAATCTACAAGTATGGAGAGCCTAATGTGTGCCAGGTGCTAGAGATACAAGTATAGCTCAATGGTGAAGAGTCCTGGACCTGGAATCAGTAAGAACTGAGCTTGAAACTCAACATCTGACACTTACTCTGTCACTCTGGGCAAGTCACTTAACTATCTCAGTTAACTCATCAGTAAAATAGGGATAATAATAGCACCTAAATCACAGGAGTTGTTATGAGGATCAAATGAGATATTGTAAAGCAGTCTGCAAACCTTGAAGTGCTGTATAAATAATACCTATTATCATTATAAAGAGTGAAGCAATTCTTATTTGCAGTAAGTTTACATTGGCTTTGCTTTAAATCAATTTCTTTTTATTTTGTCCTATGTAAAGATGGTTGTTGTTCAGTCCTGTTCAGTCAACTCTTTTTTTGGGTTTTTTTTTTTTGCACTTTAGGCAATTGGGGTTAAGTGACTTGCCTAGGGTCACACAGATAGTTAAGTGTCAAGTGTTTGGTCTGAGGCCAGATTTGGACTCAGGTCCTCCTGACTTCAGGGCTGGTGCTCTATCCACTGCGCCATCTAGCTGCCCCTCAATCAACTCTTTGTGACCCCTTGGGCCATAGCATACCAAGTCTTTCTCTAGAAGTCTGTCCCAAGTTCATGTTCCTTGCTTCCATGACACCATCTATCCATCTAATTCTCTGCCATTCCCTTTTCCTCTTGCCTAAAATCTTTCCCAATATCAGAGTCTTTTCCAAGGAGTCATCTTCTCATTATGTGGCCAAAGCATTTAAGCTTCAATTTCAATATTTACTCTCCCAGTGAATAGACTGAATTAATTTAAGTATTAACTGATTTAATCTCCTTGCTGTGCAAGGGACTCTTACAAGTCTTCTCCAGCACCACAGTTCAAAAAGATTGATTCTCTGGCACTTAGCTTTCCTTAGAGTCCAACTCTCACAGCCATACATTGCACTGGAAAAACCATAGTTTTGATTATATGAACCTTTGTTGGTAAGACGCTTTTTAGTATGTTCAGATTTGTCACAGGTTTTCTCCCAAGGAACAAGTGTCTTTTAATTTCATGCTATAGTCATTATCCATAGTGATCTTTGAGCCAAAGAATACAAAATCTGACACCTCTTCCATTTCTTCTCCCACTGTTTGCCAGGAAGTGATGGAAGCAATTGCCAAGATGTTTGTGGGTTTTTTTTTTTTTATGTTAAGCTTCAAGTCAGCTTTTACACTTTATTCTTTTACCCTCATCAAGAGGTTTGATTCCTCTTCACTTTCTGCCATCAGAGTGGTATAATCTGCATATCTGAGATTGCTGATATTTCTCCTGGCAATCTTTTGATTCATCCAGCCTGGAATTTCACATGATGTGCTCTGAATATATAAGTTAAATTAAAAAAGGTGACAATAAATAATTTCATTGCACTTCTTTTTCAATCATAAACCAATCAATTGTTCCGTGTTCAGTTCTAACTATAAAGATGGTAAACTGATCAGTACAATACTGTGCTGTCATATATTTAAATAGTCAATAAACATTTGTTGCATACAGTTCTTATTCTCCAGGAGCTCAAAATCTAATGGGAAAGACCATTTACAACAATATATGGACAAAGCCCATGGAACATCAACTGGAAATAATCAAGCAACCAAAGGCACTCAGGACTCTCACATCATTTTATTAATGTTTCTTATTTGAGACATTTCACTGGACTCTCTCCATGAGTCAGTTTCAGTAATTGTTGTCCAGTGGAATACATGTTAGACTTGGAGTCAAGACAGATCTGAATTCAAATCCTGCCTTAGCTGCTTACTACTATGAGTCACTGAATCTCTCTGAGTCTGTTTCCTCATATGGAAAATGGGGTTGATGATAATACCTCCCAGATTTATGTGGATCAAAGGAAATAAAATATGTAAAGTTTTGCAAATGTTAATATTATTTAACTTATATAAATGCTAGCTAGTATTAAGATATTTTTATAAAGTTATCCACATCATTTTGGGACTGCTTTTATTAAGAGAAAGGTCTTCCTTACACAGTTTTCTATACTAAGAATTTTGGGACGCAATTTATAATTTCCACCCACTGGTCCTGGTTCTGCCCTCAGCAAGTTACAAAGAATGGCTAATCTCTAGCCCACACGAGTTTTTCAATTATTTGAAGTCAGTGATCAAGACCCTCTTAATCTCTTTTACAAGCTAAATAGCATTAGCACCTTCCCCACCTTTAACTAGTTTGTCAAAGACCAGTAGGCCAGATGTGACCTGATCAGGGCACAGTACAAAACACAATTGGTTCTCCTCACCAGATTACTAAGACTGCAACTGAGCCTACCGGCTGACTCACTGAGAATCCACTAAAACCCTCCTTTGTTTTCAAAGTACTGATAATCTAGCCACTTCTCCTTTATCTTGAATTTATGCAACTGATTGCAATACTTAACATTGATATAGCTGCCATTTATATAGTTCTTAGTATGTGCAAAACACTTTATAATTATTAACTCCTTAGATCCTCAGGACAACCTCCCCAGAGGTAAACGTAATTATTATTTCCATTTTACAGTTGAGGAAACTGAGGCAAAAAAGAGTTTAAGTAACTTACCCAGGATCACAAAGTTAATAAGTATCTGAGGCTGGATTTGAACTCAGGTCTTCCTGACTCCCAGGACCAGTGCTCTATTCACCTAACTTACCTCTTAAATGTCATCTTTCTTCCACTGTTTTGAGTATGTTAAGACCACTGGAGATTCCAGTTCTATTATTTGATAACCATTCTTTCAAGGCAGCGAGGTGGTACAGTAGATAGAATGCTGGGCCTGGAGTTAGGAACACCCAAGTTCAAATCCAGTCTCAGATACTTTCTAGATGTGTGACCCTGGGTAAGTCACTTAATCCTGTTTGTTTCAGTTTTCTCATTTGTAAAATGAGGTGGAGAAAGACGTAGCAAAGCACTCCAGTATCTTTATCAAGAAAACCCCAAATTGGGGTTACAAAGAGTTAGACATGAACGAAACAGACCATCTTTTCCAGTTCCATGTCATCCTCAAACTTGATAAGCATGACATCAGTGCCTTCCAGGTAAATCGATAAAGATGTTAATCAATACAGAATAAAGGATGGTATGTTTGTCAGTTCAGTAAATAGTTTTTGGAGTTCTGTCGTTCAAAAATTTCAAGTGGTATCATTACAAAAGGTCATTTGCTCATTTGTAACTAATGATAAAAGTGGCTAGCCCATTTTCATCATAGTAACACTGAGAATCAAATGAGATGCTAAAGCCTTATATCTAAAGTAAAAGGGATATAGAGGAATTCAGTAAAGTTGTGACAACACACCGGAATAAGGTCTGTTTAACTTAGTAAAAATATCTTGCACTGACATTTGAAAATGACTAGATAATCAATCTTAATACAGAGGTTTTGTTTCTATTCACAGGACTCTAGTAAACTTTCTTTTTCCGGCCTGTATAAGGCTTGATGTTCTCAGTGAAAACTCATTTTGACCTGATATAATTTACAGAATCATAGAATTTAGAGCTAAAATGAGAAGAATCGGGTTTTACTGAAATAGGACTGTCCAAAACCATAAACACGTTTCATTCAATATTATTATTTTTTCTTATCCACAGGCAGACTTGTAATCTTTCCTGTGTACACTGTGTAAGAGGCTAGGAATGCACGTCTAACAGGTGCTGACTACCTAAATTTCACATACTAGTGCCTACACAGGAAATCTATACTAGATGGTCCAAAACGGCAGCTACGCCTCCGGGCTTGTTTTCACTTGAGAATTATTTCCATCATTTGATAAAGAAGTGGGAGTGGACTACCTGGCCATGTACATGTAGTCGACGGGTGAAAGCGACACCAGAAACGATTTCTTGGAGAAAGCACAAGAAAAACAGGCAGAGGGGAAGAAAAGAGTAGTCGGTGTACTAAAAGAAGCACGCGAGTCCACGGCAAACGCAGAGTGGAGGCTAACTTCAATGCTGTCCTAAAAGTGAGATGCACAACCAAATGACTGCGCAACTTTAGCACGAACACATCAGCCTGGGACTTTCCAAAAGTCACAGAGAAAAGCAACTGAGGGAGTAGCGTGGAGCAAGGAAGCCGACGGAGGGAGGGAAGAGAAGGAAGCACACCGGACAAGGGTCTGGAGCAGAGGACTGCTCCTCCACTTAAGCCCCCCTAGTTTCTCTCCAACGCTGGCTGGGGGATGGAAGGGGACGGCTCAAGCACTTACTCAGACCGAGGGGCAGCGGCAGCATGCGATGGACTCAGGCTCCTAACGGTCGCAGCACAGCGCTGGTTCCGAGCGAGCAGGAGTCTCACTTGGCCCAGATTAGCCGCGGCGCGGGCCGGAATGGGGCGGGGAAGGGTGTACACTGGGGCCCCTAGGGGAGGAGTCTTCCTGCCCCAGACTTGGCAAGCGGCTGTCCGGGACTGGGCGGAGCTGTACTCTCGGGGCTGAAGGGGAGGGCAGGGCTTGGGAGGGGAGGAGATGGGAAACCGGGAGGGGAGGGGGACCGAGGAGTATGGGAAGCGAAAGGCAGGGGGGCGGCACGTGGACGGTGTGGCAAAAGCAAGCTAACTCCCCCGCGGAGCGGAGGGCACGAGCTTGCACCAGAGGGCGGGGGGGCGAACAGAACGCAAGGGAGCCCTCTGGAGAACTGGCGGCGTTGTTAGGGTGCTTGGATTTTATCACCCGGGGAAAGCCCTGCACGTTAGATTAGAGCTAGATTCTCTGTCCACCTCCTGCAAACTGTTCCTGCCTCCAGGATTTTTTTTTTAAAGGAAAGTTCCTTTTCTCCTCTAAAGATTGTGGTCTGGATCCTGCCTAATTCAGGGAATTCATTGCAAAAAGAAAAAAAAATAGGTTTTAGACTTAGAATTGGAAGCTCCTTGAAGGATTATTCCTACCCGCAGAGCCTTGGCTAGCACAAAGTAGGCGTTTAATAAATGCTTTAGAGATCAAGACTGGTCTTTATGCCTCGAAGGAAGATTTTCTGTTTCGCGTATCTCTAGTTCGGGGGGAGAATGCCACGCACTGGGGGTAACGAGTCTAACGGGCTGGGGGAGGGAGTCGTAGGCGACAAAGGGAGAGAAACAGCGGATTTGGAGGTCATTAGGTCTAGGAACCAGGACTACAACCTAGGATCATCTCTTTCTTCATCCCCGTTCCCGCTGGTCCTCTCCACGTTCCGAGAAAATAGCATTGTCTTAAAGGGGATCCTTTAGCATTGGGGATCCACCCCAACCCCTCCTCCTCTAGCCCCGCCTCCCCTACTGTTTGCTATTTAATTTTCCCTCTTGTAACTGACAACTCTGGTTCAAAGGCGCTCCCGATGACGCTATTACGATTCCAGTTTCCATTGGGCGGCAGGACGCAAGTGCACCAATCAGACCATTCGGTATGTCTTTGCTAAGGGACTTTGCTATACTGTCTACCTTTGGCCAGATGTTGTGGACTCTGCATTGACAGTTGAACCTTAGCTAAGAAGTCTCGATTGTCTGGCTCCTTTCGGGACGGAGGCATTGCTAGGATGGAGCAGGTTTCGTACCTCTGACCTGTATTACGACTTGGATTACTCAATCCACTAGGGAAGGATGAGATTCAGTTCTTTACATTCAGTTCTGAATAAATAGCCTATGCCCTATTACACCTCCACGACCAGTATACACTCTCTTTGCCTCTTCTAGGACCAGGAGCTCATGCAGCTGTAGCTCAGCCCTCAGTCAGAATACAGGTCTGACCCCTCCTCAAACTCTCCTAACCTTGACCAAATCGTGCCCCCTCCCCCCATTTGCTTTCCCTAAGGGTCATAGTTTCTGTTTTCTGGCATATTAGACATTTTAGCCTCTGATGCATTTTTCTATAATCCTAGCAGTGCAAGATGACTGTTTGGTGTTTTGTTTTTATTTTTTAAAATTAAACTGCAGGTAAAAAGCTAATAGTGTTTCTGACCAGGTGAAGTAGCTTGATCTCTCTCAAACTGGTACTTACCCCAATCTTCATGAAACACTGACATGCATGACTCCAAACTAGCATTTATGTTCAGGTTTCATTTGCAACCTGGGCTGAAAGAAGCATAGCCATTCAAACAAAAAGCATTCAATTATACATACATAGCAAGCTAAGTGTTTCTGCAATGTATTGATCTAAATGCCAGGATTATTTGGGTCCAAGAGCAACCAACTCTTATTTACTGTTTGTAAGTGTTGTTAACTGGGTAACAATATAGCTTGCTTTGTATATAATGTTTTCACGTTGTAAACTCCTTGAAGGCAGAGACTTTTTGCCTTTTTGTATCCCCAGCACTTATCACAATGCCTACAAAAAGGCAGGTACTTAAATTTTGATTGATTGATGGAGGAGCTGAAATTTATAATCCTTATCACATCCTTTTACAGTAGTTTAAAATACATAGAAGTAGGGGTTATCAATCTACCTGAAAAACCAAAGGTCTGTCTCATTTAGGTTCATTTAGAGAATGTAAACTCTTTGAGGGTGGTTACCAGAGGTATGTTTGCACCCAAAGTGAGTGGTATTCTCTCAGTGGATCAGGTAAGACACTGACTGACCCACAGTTCTTGATTGCATGGGGAAGCTTATTCCAGTCACTTATGTGGTAGCTTTCCATTTTAACCACTTATTTTTGTTAAGCTGTTAAATGGCAAATTGTAGTCAGTGTCCTCTAAATTCAGCATCTTCTAAAGCTGGGCACTCTGTTTCATCAAAAGACTTTGCTCTTAATTTAAAGTCAAACTAAACAGAGGTATTTAGGGCTTGTTCACCCTTCTGATTTGTAGTAGAAAATTCTCAAATTCTAGCACCAACACTGCATATAATTAGCTATGTAACCTATTAGCATGTCATGGACTCTCAAATTTGGAAGGGATCCTCAGAGTCCAACTAATTTATATGTATCTGTGATCTTAGCCATATGGGTATTAAGTTGTGACTCCATATATCCTTCAGAAGCCGTCTATTCCAACATACACCTAAGTATGGTCAAGCATAACATTTACATTATATTAATCCAACCTTCATTTGAAAATCTCCTGAAGCAACCAATTCTACTTTTGGACAGCTCTGGCTTTTAGGAAGATTCTCTGTACATTAAACAGAATCTGGCTTTGTAATTTCTACTGTTATTACCTCTTCTATACAAGAACCTTTCAAAAAAAAGTCAGTTATCATGTTTCCCTCACTTCATAGGATCATAACTTTTGAGCTAGAAGGGATGTCAGAGGTCATCTAGTCAGCACCGAATTTCAGATTTCACAGACACCATAGTGGATATCTAGTCCAACCTATAACTAAAAAAGAATTCCCTCTACAATAATCCTGATTAAGACTTCCAACAGAGTCTGTCCAAGGCTGCCCATTCCACTGTTAACTCTAAGTATGTAGAAAGGTTTTTTTACATCAAGCCTGAATTCTCCTCTGCAACTTCTATGCATTACTCCTAATTCTGTCCTTTGGATACAGCATTTGAATATTTGAAAATGGCTATCATTCATTCCCCTAAATCTAACCCTCTCATTTTATAGGTGAGGAAACTAAGGCCAAAAGAGGTGATGGTGCATGTCAAGAAAGGTGAATTGGCCAATTTTCTAGGTTCCATCTAGATTTTCACATTGCCACCCCATTACTTTATCTAAAGTCCCAGATACTTAAATACAGACTTTCAAACGGGTTCCTAAATAGTACATCCTAAGATTAAAAGTAAATTATTTTGAAAATGTGGCACACTGATTTTCTGAAAGTACTTATAACCGCCATTACTATAGACAATTGAGCTGGCTATCTGCCAAACATTTTTTATACAAAGTATCATTAATATTCTGTGAATAAATCTCGCCTGTAAAGTTCTGAAGAATCAGGCATAGAGCAAATCATTACCATTTTAAAGCAAATAGTCATCCTTAAATATGCCAAATACAAATTCAGAGGCTCTCAGAAATATAGATCAAGGGGAGAATTAAATCAATCAACATGGTATCAAGAGTTTTAAAACAATGGTATGCTAAACAGAAAAGTCTCTGCATGATTGTTTATTTAAAATACTATGACTCTGGGGTAAAATACATATGTACTTTACATCATTTTAAGAGTTAATATAATGCTTAATTAAAACATGGAATTTTCCCAACACATTGCTTTTTTTTTCTTATAAGCACAATAGTAAATTTCCTCAGTAAATTAAAATAAAATGTGTTTAAAGCTTTTTTAAGTCTTGATGCTTACACAAATAAAATATTGATGAAGAATTAAGTTTTACAAATGAAACAATCATATTGGTTCTCTGCAATGTTATCACAGATTTTTCCATGGCAAAATATGCCCAAATTTTGTTATTGCACAATTTATAAGTTCAGGTTATGTGCATAGAACCCTCAACTAACTATAGTGTTTGCACTGCAACTTGCTCAACACATTTAAAATTATGTAATACAATTTACAAAATCGTTAACAATATACTTTTAAGATAAAAGTATCCTGAGAATATTACAAAATTCATTTTACCAGCCTTTCAGTTCTTTGCCACTAATCTCCAAGATGATATCTGGTACATAAAATGTTTCGTAGTTCCTGTTTCACAAAATAACTTTAAGCAAAACCACTATAGAATTTTCACATACGCAATCCATCGGCCTCCAGTCTCATTGGTAAAATTCAAGTATTTATCAAGCTTTCTATAATTCAAGATATAGCACAAAATAGTTACAGAAACAATGTCAGCACATTTAAAAAGTTAAAGGCTTTGTGTATTTTTTGATATTTTGTTCAGAATATTTAAATTGTGAAATTGTTTTATTTTGGCAAAAAGAAAAATCCCCAAAGATGACTTTTTTTCTGAAGGTAGAATAGTGTATTTTGAATGTAAAATGTTAGACAATCAAGCCCTACTATATTTAAACATGAATCTGAAGGCAAAGTAAAAGTTTGCTGCAAAGATTTCAGCATCTTTGGGCTGAACAACATAAAGGCAACAAAGAAAAATGCAAATAAAATTATGTTCTTTTGATAGCCTTCTAAAATAAATATCCTCTTTTTTCAAATCCATACACATCAATATTTTATTCTTGATATCTTCTAAAACTATTGTCTGTCAATATAATCTTTTTAATAATAATTTTTAATGTTTTGGAGTATTTGAAATGTTTGTATATGTCTGGTGGAGGGGTCAAAAGTTAAAAAAAATTAGGCAATTATATTGTTACTAAAAAAATTGTCATTCTGGTAGCAGTAGTTTTTTTAATCATAGCAGAAAAGGTATTAAAAGATTTTCAATCTCTATTGAATACACAGATTGAACTCAAATGAGTTGTGCAAGTAATAAAACCTGGGTACTAGAGAAGATTAACTGGATGCAGTGAGGCATCCATTTGTCATATCACTAAGGTGTAACATCTTAATCAGAGGTGTTCATTTGCTTGATTCTTAGCCAAATTCTACTCTACTACCAATGAGCAAGAGGGAAAATGATGATTTAGGAACTGGAAGAGGAAATAAGGGATTGGTGGTGATGTTTATTAGGTGTTTCAGCCTTCAGATAAAAAGGCTGATTTTCACTGAAAAATAAGGGATTCCCTGCACAGATGCCTATAGAAGGTTTGTTGTTTCTCCCCCACCCCCCAAAAAACAAAACAAAACAAAACAAAATGCTTTTAACACCACGCCACATATATCATAAATATATATGTATATATATTATTACAGTTGCTTATACAGACTACTTTAGGCAATATAATCAAATTCTGAATGACCTTGTTAATTTTTAAGGCATCAGTGCATCAAGGGTAAAGGTCCATGAAATAAATATAAACATAAGAGAACAAAAGCTTGTTTTGTGGCAACAACTACAAAGTAATTACTGTACATTATATCTGTTGGCCACTTTTATGAAATATGTTCATAAGAATTTATATTATTGAAAAAAAATGCTAGAGCATGAATTTCACATCATTTTTCAACATTTCACTTAATGGACTAAATCGATCAGGTAAAATTCTCATCTTCACTGTTCCATCAGCTCCACAAGAGAAAATGTGATTGGCTGGTCCTGTCTCAATTTGCATTACTCCTGTTCCAATGTTTCTAAAAATGGATTGCCGAGCATGTTCATTGATAAAAGTGTGGAGAAGATTAAAGGTAGATAGACTCCAAATCTGAAAAGTATTAGAACACAATTAGAATGAACAGTTAATTAGTCTAGGGAAACAGATAAATAAAATTTATTAGGAACTACTAGGAACAGCTAAACTTAACTTGATTAGAAATGTCAAACAAACAAGATATACGACCAAAATGAAGATGCTACCTTACACCTGCACAAAAGCTTTTGTGCCTCTTTTTTTTAAGCCTCTTTCAAACCTACTTATTATTATTCTTTGCAAAAACTCTGTAAGAGAAGGTTTGATATTATTGATAGCATTCTACAAGTGAGCAAACAAAAACCTGGTTAGAATAAGTGACCAGTCCAAGGTAGAAATTCAGAGTTAGTGGTAGGGTAGGCCCTAGACGACGTCCACACTTTCTGTCTCCTCTCACTAGACAAAGCTATCTCATTTGTATTGTCAGAACCCCCTCTGTAAAAATCAAAATAATTATCAGTAGCCCAAAACAAATAGAAGGGAAACACTTGCCATCAAATGGCACTCAACCCCAAAGAAGGGCATTTGTAAGGCTATCTGTAAACAGAACTACTCTATTAATATCAATTCGGAACATCTATTAGGTTTTGAAGTACATGATGAAATATACTAGTCTGATTTACATAAAGTGAGGATAAGCAGCTGTTTAATGTGAGAAGAATGAATGATTTCAAGGCATTACATTTTACACACCTTTATATTGCCTTCTGCAGATCCTGTAACAAAATATTCTTCAGTTGGATCTACAGCAATTGCTTTTACTGGAGAATCATGGCTTTGGAAAAACTGTCTCTGCTGTCGCTGGCGAAGATCAAATACCGATGTAAAACCTTTTCTGCCGCCTGATATCAACACCTGATGTTTTGGAGCATATGCAAGCACTGTAGCACCACTATCATGGCAGGTAAAAGCTGAAATTAAAAAAAATTATAAAGGGTATAAGATTTACTCTCTTTTTATAAAAAATCCAGTCTGTAACAAATTTATTAATACAAATGTTTCTTGAACGCCATTACAATTGTGCTGAGTCCCAAATGGATTTCTTTTTTATCGATTTGCTAAGGTCCTAAAGCTCTTCTCAAGTGCCATTCATTGTCACTTCCTCACTCTGACCATTACAGGGCATAAGTGGAATATAAACTGAGCCTGCAAGCATCCAGTGTAGGGACATAACCTCATTTGAAGAAATATCCAAACCAGCCATGATCACCTCTAACCAGGCCCAGGATTCAGCTCCTGGCAATCAAGACTACTTTTCCACCTTGCCTGCACTAGAATATACTTCTTTTCCTCTCCCAGCTTTTCAGCTCCTTTTTATGTGTGGTCTTCTCCCTTAGAATGAACACTCCTTGAGGACAGAGGTTATCTTTATTTTTACTTGTATTTCCAATGTTTAGCACTGTGCCTGGCTCATAATAAGCAGCTGACAAATGTTTTATCTAATCTAATCTAAACTGGAATTTATTCTATGAGACTAGATCACTCTTAAAAACTCATTTTGTGGCTATTTTTCTCCTGGTTTCATCTATATTAAATGTTCTTCAAATAATACAGTTCACTGGATCTCCCAAGCTCTTTGTGGACTGGTTGCCTGTTCAAGGATTCTTTGAAGTTTAGTGAACCAGTACAGCTCAGTCGTTTTCTTTTTTAAACCATTATCCATAGTGTTCTACAAATGATTTTGTACAATAAATAGTTTTTGCCTGTGGATGCAACATCTTTGTATCTGTATGTATGTATTTGAACTGGAGAGTGTTTACTGGCTGAGTCAGTTATTGGTCTCTTTCTGCCACCTCACTGTAGCAACTACTTTGCATTGGCCGTTTTAACTTTTGTCTATTTTGTCTATTTCCTTTTAAACAGGTTAGGATTTGTGTTAATATAATTAGATTTAGTATCTTATTTCCACCTTTAGTTTAGTGTTCACTTTGTCCTTGGCCCCAATCAGCTGATCTGTCTACAAAACTAGCTGGTTCTCTAACGACTGGAATATCTGTAAGAAGCTGTTTCCTAGCTGTTGAGATAGAATAAATTTCATTTTAATACTGCTAGACAGTTGTCACCACTTCTTGCAAATTCCTACTAGTTTTTAAAAATAATTTATTATTTATAATGAAAAAGGCATGAAGCTTTTCAGTAGTCTGAGTGCCTTTGGCCTATTTAATTTCTTGATCCCAAATTGCATGGTTTCCAATTTATTTCTACTTTTGCACTGAAGTAATTGAGTATTAAAGCATATGTTAGCTCAGAGAATCTCATCAAGCTCATTATGAAACTCCTGTATATCTTTATCTTCTTCAATGGAAGAGGACAAATAAACTACTTATATAGTTGTGAGTCCTGCAACTGGAAATGACCAGGTATCCCATTAAACGGTATTCTTGTTGTCTTTGGACATATAATGAAATAGTTGTTCCTAATTTCCCTCTCTCTCTATGGAAGCATGGGATGCTTCCAAAAGAATGGAATTTCAATGGTATTTGGGGTTCACCCCCAAAAAGTGAACTACAAGAAATCAGCAACTCATCCATAGCTATAAATTTGCCTTCTTATCTTTATAAAGCTTGTCTTTATATACAGTGAAGGTATTATTGAGGAAGATCAAATTAGGCAGGATTTCAAAGATGATTCTGTACAATTAAAGATACCTTTAAGGTCATACAACTTGCCAGAGGTAGAGAGAATATATGACTCTGCTGTGTTTATTGGTTTTAAGAAAGTACTTGATACAGAATGTACAAGTGAACGTTGTGTAATTATAATGATCATAGGTGGGGGAGCATGGGTGTGGAATATAGCTTGAGTGCCATTCTTGTCAGACATGATCAGTGTGTTAGTTTTGATAAACTGCTTTCCCCCCCTCTTTTTAAATCTTTGTTGCAAGTGATAGCTTGCTGGGTAGGGAAGGGAGGAAGGATAGATTCAGAAATACATGTGACATGAAACCAAAAAAAATCAATAAAATGATAACTTAAAAAAAAAAGAAGTAAAATTTTAAAAAGGCAATAGATATGATAGGACAAACTGCAGATGTAAAAGCTTTTCACAGATAAGGTATATCCCATTAATATGCCAAAATCACACAAGAATCAATGACACATTTGACTATGAAAATAATTTTCAGTGATCTTTTGAATACTGACATTAACTGAAGTGTCAAACCAATATATATCTAAAATCTTTGCCAATGTCATAGAAAATTATTTTTGCAAAATTAAGACAAAAGAAATACAGATGGCAAAATTCTCCAAATGTTCCTATTGACAATGTAGTAATTGTATTAAGTCTCAAACCACTATTCCTCTACAAAGAAATCCATGATAATCCATGATAAAGAGATCTTTCTAAACATCCACAATAAAGTGGAAGAAAAATGCATAAAACCTAGATGCTAAATAGCTGGATGAAAAGCCCACTGTAGTAATACATCAATATTTTAAATCCTGGATAATCACTACAAATGGACAAAGAGCATGGAGCATTAGTAGATTATAAGCATGGATCACATTTGGGAAACTGAAGTGTTTTCTAGGATACCAAAATGGTTGCTCCCAAAGTCTCTAATACCAATGTTCTCCCAGTGATACTATTTGGTAATCAATCATGAAACACCATGATCTTAGTAAAAATAAGATGACAAATAACTCAAAGCATCTTTAATGAGGGCCAGTGTGATGTTGTCAGTAGACAGATTAATTGGACTTGGTCAAGAAGTCTGGGTTTGAATTCTTTAGTCACTGATTGTGTGATCATGGTTGTCACTTAACTTCTCACAATCTATTTCCTCATCTATAAATTGAGGGTCATGATAGTTGTACTGCTTGTCTCAAACTCATCTCAATTTAACATTCACATATGTAGATCTGAGGTACTGGATTTGAGGCAAGTGGTATTATTATTTCTATTTTACAGGTGAGAAAACTGTGGCTGAGAAAGTTTAAGTGACTTGCCCAGTGTCACATAGCAAGTAAGTATCTGAGACCAGATACGAACAGTGTAGTCTTGAATCTAAATTGAATTTTCTATGTGCTGCATCACCTGGCTGCCTCTTGTCCTTGTTACTGAGGAGGTCTGAGACAGCATAGTATGATTAGGACTTTGCTACTTATTCCTAGACCTATAGGGAAGATTTGAGCAGGGTTCAGGAGTGGATAACTTGAGAAATTCTCAGTTCTTCCTGAAACAAAACCTTGTATAGCTGTAAAGCAATGTCATCATCCAAATGTAAAAATGATGTAATGATTTACTAGAGCTTAAAAAACAAAGCCATTTAAGCCTTATTAATTTCATTATTTGCAAAAATTATTTACTTACGATGTACCAAGCTATTTGCAGGTGCCACAAGAGTATCCCACAAACATATGTTTCTGGAAAAAAAATAATTTTATCACTATTTTTTATATGAGTATTTTAAGAGATTAGCAATGTAATAGCAATTTTATTTCATGATATTATGGTCTCCTTTTATAGTATATTTTCAAATTCCTCAAATCTCATATTAAAATCATTCAATACTCCCAATTCTAAATGGATCTGAGATAACACATTTCTGCATACCGTTCCATGATAATGATCATTCACAGAAAGGAAAGCAGCAATACATAGAAGCCAAGATACCAGATAAAAGGCAACCACCTATCTGAGCTCTTCCAACATTCCCCTCCAAACACCTTTAAAGTAACACCTCAAGTCAAATTTTGGAGCAGCAGAGCCAAAAGGAGGTCAGGGTGAGAAATTTTTCTGGACTAAAAAGCCTTAAGAGGAAGTCTATGACGTAAGGATGGAGGCTTGTCTGCAACCTACATGTGAAGTGGCAGCGGTAGCAGAGGCTTCGGAAGCTCTCGGTCCAGAGATGGTAAGGGGGTCAACAACTGGTCAGAAAGAGACTACAGGGAACCTTTTGCTGGCACTGAGTAGAGCTGGTGCTGACTGACAACTCTATTGACTATATGCAGTGGGTGGGAGAGAATTTGGAACTCAAAATTTTAAAAGAACAGAATGCCAAAAAAAAAAAAACAACCCCAAAGAAAAGAACATTAAAGCATTGAAAAAAAAAGCATTGAAAAAAAAAACCAGAAGGGAAAATAGCATCATCAGTCTATTCTCCAGCCCTAAAATGGCTGTGATGCATACATGGAAGGATATATAGGCTTGCATGAGAAACATACATCAAGCAACATGCACCATTCAGTGACCCACAGGAGGGTGCAGGGGATTTGGGGATTCCCTGAATGGCCTCCTTGGGACATAGAGTAAAATGCTGTATGGTTTCCACCTTGTTTATTTTGAGAACTGTATGGAATTAGAGAAGTTGTTTGACTCAAGGCTGGATCAGGTTAGAGTACCCCAAAGTTCAGCCCTCTTAAATGCTTACTCTACTATTACTACTAGCTGATATTTATTTCATGTGTTATAGTTTGCAAAATCCTTTAAATAATCATCCCATCTGATCTATGAAATACAATATAAACCATCTCCATGCTCCAAATGATCTGTTTCCCAACCCACAAAATAAGCCGGGAAAATAATTTCTGTGGTAATTTTATTCCACTGGCAAGAATCCAGTAACAGATTATCTACTATGACTCTAAGCCTAGACATGAATTTCAGAGACAGAACATTAGAAATAGAGTTAGAATGGATTGTTCCCTTTAATACTAAAATTTCCCTAGTTTTTGTATACGGTAAACTACTACCAAATTTAAATACAGGTGAACAGACTTTTTAAGATGACTACAGGATTAATAAAACACTTAAGACAAAAGGTAATAATGAAGCAACAATAATAATAATTTTTCCAAAAGATAGGCTATACTCACATACAGAATTTAGGGATAAAATCTCACCTGTTATCAGTCGAGAGACCTGCTGTGGCTATCAGAGAAGAGGAACTGATGAAAACAAAATCATTGGCTGTTTTGTTATGACACTGCCATGTCTGAAATGGTCAAAAATAGGAATAATTTTTATATAAGTTTAGAAAGATTTGACCTAGTTGTATATAACATTCAGTGGCTAATTATTTCATAAACAGCTTATCAGAAACCTATGTCTCCCATCCAACACCATATGAAATCGTGATATGATTTTTAAATAAAAGAATAAACCATTCAAATCCTCTCACTCAGTATAAATAACAAAAAATTATTGGATAAGAAACTTCAAAAAATTTCAAATTATGTGTATGTTTCAATTATTTATGCTATCTTTATCTACCTCAGAGGTAATAAAAAGTTAACTGTTTTATTAAGAAATACTTTTGTTCTTAAATAATAACTTATGAAGTACAAAAGGCCATAAAATTTGTAAAATAGTCAAGGCCAAAACTAAATCATTTAGACCATTGCTCCATACTTACACATATTAAAGAAACTGAATGTGGATGGTGGATAGGAAAGTAGTGTTGAATAAGGAAGTAAGGAAGAACTACTGACTGTGTGACTCTGAGAAAGTCAACTAACCATCAGTGTCATTCTATAAACACAGGCTAAGGTCACCAGAGACATGTAAGACCACAAAACAAACGGGAAATGGAGAAAACAATGAAGCAAGATTAGGTATCAAAATCCAATGAGACATTTCTATCTTTAATAAACTTTTTTTTTTAAAGTAAAAATTCTTAGCTTACCAAATATGGCTTAGGAGTATTTCCAGTAACTGGACAACACTTCCAGTTAGTCTGATACAAACTTATATAGCCATCAGCATCAACGATTCCAAACTTGGAGAGAAAATATTAAAGGAAGAATTTAAGTTCATACATTGACATATATATTTTTAATATGTACAGTGGCATTTTGGTAAATTTTTCTACAAAATTACAATGAAAATATCTATATTCTATTACATTTGAAGATATTATAAACGAAAATTGGAATCATGATTTAAGGTAGAACCTGATATTAGCATTCCTAAGCAAAACCAAAACCTGCAAGTATGGGCTTAAACAAAGTTAGCTGGGTAGTTTCAAGAGCATTCAGTGAGGTTGTTACCAGCCTATGGAGGGCCTTTCATAAGCCATACTCCTGATACCTAGGGTAAACTCTGGAGAACCTTATCATGTAGTCTCTTTACTCAGAGAGCCAACTGCCTTAGTTTTAAGGCCTGATCACCTTTAACTAGCAGCTAGGTGGCACGGTAGATAGAGTGTGAGGCCCAAATCCAGCCTCAGACACTTACTAGCTGTGTTACATACAAGTCACTAAACCCTGTTTGCCTCAGTTTCCTCATCTGTAAAATAAGCTGGAGAAGGAAATGACAAACCACTCCAGTATCTTTGCCAAGAAAAACACAAATGGGATCACAAGAGTCAGATATGCCTGAAAACAACTGAACACCTTTAACCAAGACTATTCCAAGGGCCTCCTAATTGGTTTTTGTGTTTCAAGTCTTTCCCCTCCACTGAAACCATTCTTCCCATAGCTGCTAATGTAATATTCCTAGAGTGTTGGTCTCACCATATCCCTTTTCTTTCTCAATAAATTCCAGTGACTACCTATTACCTATAGGCTCGATTAACTCTTTTGTTTGGCATTTACAGTCCTTCACAACTTGGTCTTAACCTATTCATTAAGCTGTATATATTAATTTCCTTTATATGCATTGTGGTATTGCCAAATTTGCCTTCTTACTATACTTCTTACTTACTTTACATGGCACTACATTTCCTGTCTGAACTTTCTGTCTCATAACTCCTAGTTTGCTTCAAGGCTCAAGAACTACATCTTATATAAAATCTTTCCGGATTCACCCAGCTGCTAGTGCCTTCCCTTCAAAATTATCTTTTATATAAGCTTAAGTTATAGACACACACACACACACACACACACACACACACACACACACTCTACATCCCCTAGTTAGACTATAAGCTCCAGGGGTAGCAGGGAGAAGGTGGGAGGAGAAGAGGTAAAGGAAAGAGAAGAGTGATTTTCTCACTTGCTTTTGTATCCCCAGAACCTGTGTGCTTCGCACACAGTAGACACTTAACTGCTTGCTGATGGACTGAACTTTAACATAAGGATAAGAATAATTGCACTATCTACCGCATAGAGTTCTGAGGTGCAAAACAGATCATTATCTCTGTTGTGAGATTTTCCCTCAATAACTAGAACTCTTCCTTCTTTTGGCAATGGTAGCAGTCACCTTAGATTCCAGATGAACTGGTCCATGAGTTGTTTTTAAGTTGGAACAACCCAAGCCGAAGACCTCTGAAGATTCTCTTTTTACATGAACTTAAATGCTTTTTAAATTCTGAATTAAATGCCAAATAGAATTCGAAATCCCACATTCAAATTACAATCCCCTTAAAAGATTATTATGCATGAAACTGCAAATCTCTAAGTAACATACTTTATAATCACAAATCCCTAAATGTATTCAATCTGTTAATAATTAGCCTAGTCTACCTATTGCGATAAGGCTGACCCTGAAAGTGGGTTTCAAACAAAATATCAAAATCATTCCATTACTAGCCTAGGACATTTTCTAACATATTCTAAGTTAAGTAAAATAAGTATTAGATTTAAATACTAAAATCCAAAATTAAAAAAAAATTCACTAATTTCCTTCACTCTTGCCCCTAAATCTCTACAAAGAACACAGAAAATCTATACACAAAATTATTATTATTATTCCTTAATATTTTTATAGAAGGAATTTACTTTGCTCTTCATCTAAATCCTGCAACTGTCCTAAGGAGATGGGGCTACTGATGGAAATCATGGGTAAGTGCTCCCAACATATGGACTTTGTGCTAACTCTAACTCTAAATTTGTGCTGCCTTCCTTTAAGCACATTGTTTTCTCCATTACTCAATGCTTACAATACTTAAAAAGGTAAAATGTGGGGAAGAGGCTACCAGTAGAAATTAGTTGGGTTTGGTGTTTTCACTAATCACTGATGAATAAAACTTTTGTTCTTTGGGATGAAGAGATGGGAAGTAGTTTACCATCACTAATATATAATTTAAGGTAGTTCTGTGATGACTGGGCCAGCAAAATATTCAATTATGAGTTGGAACACTGAAAATAATTTCAGCAGGAAGGCCTGTTTAAAACAAAACATTCTAAATAACAAGAAAGGGAATTTATAATAAAGAACACTTTCTGGTAGAGAATAACTGTCTGAGACAGTAGAAATGTGTCCTATGTGCACAATATACATTCTAAGAAGGTATATGTGAGAAAATTAACCTCTGTACAACATTTTCAATAGTTATATTCTTGTACGCCACCTTGTTTCCTTGATAGTTAAATCGCATTCTTGTCACCCTTGAATTGCCGCCAGACCGAAAACAGGTTATTTGTTGGGAATGACCCCACTCAAACATTCTGACACTTCCATCTTGGGCTCCTGTCAGATCTTTATGAAAAAGAGGACAAAGATTTAAAATCTTTTTTTAAATTTTGTTTTAAAAAAATCTAATATAGGAAAAATTGTTATGAATTATAAAATTTGCATAAATCTAGAATTTGAATAAAACTGTCATTGTACCATAAAACACATACTTAGAACCAACCAGACAATAATAACAGAATAACCAAATGCATCTTTTCAAAATACTACTTAATTTCTAATAATTCTGTGAGTGAATAACTTTTTAAAACAACTTCCTAGTATTTAGAAATCTTTTCATCAATAAGCCTCCTATCACTAACAGCAAAGGAATTAGTTATCCCTTCTAATTCACGACTTTCTCCATCACAGTTTCAATATATTGTCAGTCAAGATAAGAAATTAAATGGGAATTTTTAGTGAGTTTTGTGGAAGCTGCAGATGACACATGAAGGCCAGCAGATAACACAGAAAAAGGTTTGGAAACTCAGAAATTAATAAAATATATGTATAGTATTTGTATAATATCAACCCAAATTTTACAATGAGGTACTGTAAAAAAAGAAAAAAAATTCAGACTTCTTTTCTTGTAGGAAGGGAGGGCCAAAAAATTTTACAAGATTTTCTAGATTGTGGGGGCACCGTGGCCCCTAATTCCTATGATGTGGAACGGATAACTGTAATGTAATCTCTATGTGTTTCCTAAAACTCAAAATTACACAAAATTTCAAATTTTAGCCTATCTGATCTATTATCTTGGTATATGACTTTATGTATAGACATATAGTATATAACTCTATGTATATAACACAAAATACTCAATATACTTGTATAATATATATAATAAATATTTTAAAATATTACTAGCTACAATTTCAGCATAAATGTATATTGATATTCCCTCCAACACCCACATTTCCCACATGTCAATTTACTAGTTTCCCATGACCAATTCTACTCCACTCCTCCTTAGACACACAAAAAGATACCTTTGATCTTGCCATCACCCATAAGTGTACTACTTTTGTGTTTATGAAGTCAGAGCTTGCCTTATTTGATCACAGTCTATTGGCTTTTCACCTCTCCCTCTGCCTTCTAATATCCAACCCTGCTCTTTGGCCACAACGTGACCTCCAATCCCTCAAACCCTCAGTTTTCTTCCTTTTTCCCTACTTACCCTTAAACTACTGATGCTTCCCTTCTTTCCCCCATCTTAACCCCTTGGTGAACTAATTCAACTTCATATTCTCCTCTCTGAGTTGCTTGCCCCCTTACCATATCAATTGTGCCCTACCAAGTCTCAGCCTCGAATCATTCCTACCATCTGCTACCTTTGTCTTACACACATGCTACTGGATGACGGTGAAGAAAATCATGAAACATTCTGACTGGGTCCACTATGAATTTATATTTCATAACCTCAAGTGGGCACTCATTGCTACTAGGCAAACCTTCTATGTCTCTCTAAGTCCTTATCCCACATGGCACACAGAAGCTCTTCCACACCTTTTCATGTCTTCTTAATCCTTTCCTACCCTCTGCTGCTCCTCCATACCCTCTCAGCTGAGAACCTTATTTCATATTTTATGGAAAAAAGTGAGGCCATTCGCCTTCTTCCCTCTTCCTCATTTTATCTAACTCAGATGCCCTTTGCCACTATTTCTTCCTTCAGCCTTGTCTCCCATGAAGAGGTGGGCCTTCTCCTTGCCAAAACAGAACCCTCTACCTGCCCAAGTAATTATATTCCATCCTGTCTTCTCCAGACTATCCCCTCTGTTGTTCCCACTCTCACTTATCTTCAATCTCTTACTATCTATTGGTTGCATCCCTACTGCCCCCAAAAAACCTCACCTGATCCTTTCATCCTTGCTAACTGTTGTCCCATATTTCTTCTCACCTTTGTGGCTAAACTTTGAAAAGGCTGTCTACAATCAATACCTCCATTTACTTTCCTCTCACACTCTTCTTAACACTACATAGTCTAGCTTTCTACCTCATAATTCAGTTGAAACCGATGTGTCCAAAGTTACCAATGATCTCTTAATTGACAAATCCAAGTTTTCTGAATCCTCCTTCTTCTTTAACTCATCACAGCCTTTGATACTGTTAATCATCTTCTTGATTTTCTCTTTTCTCTAAGTTTTTGGGGCAACACTCTTTCTTGGTTCTCCTGACTGTTCCTTCTCAGTTTCCTTTGCTGGGTCTTCATTCAGGCCATACTTGCTAACTGTTGGTGTCACACAGGGCTCTGACCCAGGCCCTCTTCTCTTCTTCCTCCAAACTATTTAGTTTGGTGATCTCAACAATGCTCATGGATTCAATTATCACCTCTATGTTGATGATTCTCGAATCTACTTATACAGTTCTAATATCTCTGCTGGTCTCAGGTTTCACATCTACAACTATCTTCCAGACATCTCAAATTGGATATCCTGTAGACTTTTTAAACTCAGTATGTCCAAAACTGAACTCACTATCTTTCCCCCCAAACCCTCCTCCCTTCCAAACCTCCGTATTACTTTTGAATATAGCAACATCCTCCCAGTCCTCCAGGCTCCAAGTCATCATTTACTCTTCACTATCCCTCAGTCCCCGTTCCCCCCCCCATCTACTCTGTTGTTGCCAAGGCTTGTCAATCACACTTTTGCAACATCTCTAAAATATGCCCTCTTTTCTCCTCGACAATGCCAGCACCTTAGTGTAGGCTCTCATCTCTTCATGCCTAGAATATTGCAATAGCCACCTTATTGGTTTGCCGGCCACAAGTCTCTTTCCACTCTAGATCATGCTCCATTCAGCTGCCAAAGTGATCTGACCATGACCACCGAATATTCAATAAATGCAAGTTGTTCTTCCCTATCAGCTCTAGATCATCACAACCTAGCACTTAGCTCCAACCTTTCCTGTCTTGTACACCATCTATCCCCTCACATTCTTCAATCCAGTGACAATGGCTTCCTTACTGTTCCTCAAAAAAGACACTCCATCTCTTAGCTCTGGGCATTTTCACTGGCTGTCCTCCATGCCTGGAATGTTCTCTTCCCTCATTTCTGTCTCCAGCCTGAATTAGTTTTCTTCAAGTTCCAGCTAAAATCTCACTATTTACAGGAAACCTTTTTCAAACCCCCTTAAATTCTTTTATCTTACTCTATTACTTATTTCCTATTTATCTTGTTTATAGTTTGTTTGTACATAATTATTTGCATGTTGTCTCTCCCATTAGGTTGTGAGCTCCTTGAGAGCAGGGACTGTCTTTGGCCTTTCTCTGTATTCCTAGCACTTAGCATAGTGCCTAGCACATGGCAGGTGGTTAAATTCTTACTGACTGAATTATAAGGAATAGTAGTTGGATATATTATTATATTTCCACATTGAATAAAAGGTTTCCCCCCTCAATATTTTCCTTGGTATTCTGTCTTTATTTTTACTCTTTGAGGAAAAGTTTATATTGTTAGTAGGTGACTATTAAAAAAGATATTCTTAGCACTTTTCTAAATTTAGATTAAAAAGCTAATATAATAAGATTGAAATAAAATGGTTAAAGATACTTATTAAAGGCTGAATAGTCTCAGATTAGGAGAGGCAATGATAATTTCAAAAACTCATTACTGATGAACAATTATTTGATTCTTGAGAATTTAGGGGAAGCAGAAGCATTTGAAAACTAGAGAAGGGAAAAAGGGAAACCTGTAATTACCACAGTTATATGGAATAGTTAGGTGCCACAGTGGGGAGAAAATCAGGCTTATAATCAAGATGGATTGAGTTCAAATTGTACATTTGTTAGCTGTGAGATCCTGGTTAAATATATCTGGACCTCATCTATAAAAGGAAGGGGTTGGACTAGATGACATCAAAGGTCCCTTCTAGTTCCAAGACTACATTTCTATCATCTAATGATTCCATAATTGGTTAGAAACAAAATATGTTGAGGATAGTCTATTTTCTTCCTAGCCAACAATATGAAGAAGAATTAGATGTAATATCCATACATTCATCTACATACATCTACATTCACTTATAATTTACATTTTTCACTTAAAAGATGTTTTTGTAAATATCTAAATGCCATATAAAAGCACAATTTGAATAATTTTAAAAATAGATATCTCTATAATGTCACCCTATTAGAGAAAACTACTGAAAAACAAAAACAGAGTGCTATGGAAAGAACATCAGCCTGTGTGACCTTGCTCCCAGCCCTTACTATCACTGACTAGGTATGTGACTGAGCAAAACACAAAATCTCTGAGATTCAATTTCTTCACTTTTTTTTAATAGTTGCAATCAATTTATTAAAAAAGATGATTGGTTAGGCATCTGCAATGGTGACTTCAACTTTTACATCTGGTTCAATGCTGATAGAAGTGATCTGTTTAACAATTTCAGAAGGACTGTGCAAATCAATATGGCATTTGCGGATTCTCATCTGGAACCAATCCCAAGTCTTTGAACCTTCACTGCAAGGAGTTTTTCTAGTTGTGATTTGAAGTGTCTTAGTGGGCATTCAAACAGGTCCCTTCACTTTCAAGTTCTTTTCTTTGGCTCCTCTAATTAGGTCAGCACACACTTTCTCAAGGGATTTCACATTTTGGCTATGAGGGTGATCTGGATCCAGTGAATGGCCACTTCAGACTCCACAAGGGTCTTGCTGGTGTCTTTGAATATGGCATTCAAAGGGCGAACAGCGGTGAGTCAGGAGGAGGAGAGGCAGCGACTGCCAGCTCCACGTGGCTGCAGGGGCATACCTTCACCAAAGATTCAATTTCTTCACTTTTAAAGTTAAACAGATGGACAAAAAGAATTCTCTAAATCACTGTTTCAAATCTTGCTTGGCATGTAGGAGTATATGTATTTTGGTTTAAAATATATTTGTTTCCATCTTCTGTTAGGTTTTTTAAAAATATGAGCAAAGTACTTAATTTAGCATATGGCAAATACACACATACTCATATATACATATACAAACATCACACTTCACACTGGGTGTCAATAAAAATGTTTATAATTAAATCTATATTGTTGTCTATAGGTTTTATATAGAAAATTATTAAAACAGTAGAAAAGCTTTTCAATTATTATTTAAATTGGTATTAAATTCTTTAAGTATGATATCATAGAGCTTCTTTGGTACTATCTCTTTTGCTCCCTTGATTGTACTACCCTTAAAAAAATCCAATTAAGTAGGCAGCATCAAGTATTACTCCAAAGCAACAGAGGGTAATTAAGAGCTTACTTTCAGAGATATTCATTCTCTTTTAGGTTTTAGAGCTTCCTTACTGAGTTTTTCTCAGAGCAGGGGATAAATAGCCTTAGAAAATACACGTTAACTCGTTAAGTTAATTTGTGACTTTGAAAAACTATAATGGAGTAGCAGTAGAGGAGCAAGATATGGCATTCCCTAATTACAACACAAAACTGAGGTCTAAGCTATAGAATTGTGTGATGGTAAGTAAGATTCCTTTCAGTACTTGATGTAATTAAGCCCCATTGATTGGAGTATAACAATGGACAGACTAGAATTATGTGCCACAACAGGTGATGTTATAAAGTTCTAGATCATAAACAGATTTGTTATATACATGGACAAACTACTGCCTCTTAAAAAAAATACTTTCTCTTATTTTTTCTTCATCCCTCAGATCTGTCCCTTGGCCTCTGGAGCTCGCAATGATCTAAGGTTAGCTGACATCTGTACTTTGAATTTATGAATGAGATCAAAATAGGTTAGTAATATTGGATTTCTGCTTTACTCCATGACTCCAGTATTACTAACAGAACTTCCCAGTATAGTGGAAAAAGCACTAGACTTGGAGGGGTGGGAAGAAGGGAAGGAGTGTCAAAAAACTTAGATTCCAATTCTAACCTTGAAACTTAGACTTTGTTAGGCCATGATTAAGTAATTTAAATTCTCTAAAACTCAATTTCCTTACACGGATAATATAAATGATTATATTTACACTTCCTGACAATTGTTCTATATGAGAAGCAAGAGCTTTTTAAAATCTAAAAGTGATTATCAGCATTCTCGGTTTAGAAGTGAGCTTACAAATACATATACTGAGTGCTTTCTATTTTGTTATTATGTATATACTACTTTGATCGCAATTATTCAATATTCCAGATTAGGGTTCCTTAGAAAGAGTTTGGCTTAATTTGTACATTAAAAACTAATTCACCTGTAGAAATAGCCAATTAAAACATTTACATTAAGAAGAAAGAAATGCTAGTTTCATTCATTTTACTACAATAGTATCCATGAGAATGTACTATTTTTATACTGACTTTTTGGGACATTTTTTATATCAAGTCATGAAAAAGTAAGCTATAATTAGATACTCACATGACAATAAAAGTGTTGATGCCAATCGACCAGTTAATTTTAAAATATTATCTAGAATCTTTTTTCACTGCTCCAATATTTCCAATACCTCCCCATTAACCAAATACGCCATTTAATGCAGGCTTACTTTTAAGCTTCCTAGGAAGATTAACTGAAAACGAATCTATCCTATCTAGGAACATAAGAAGCTTAATAACGGTTTCCTTTGGTATTTTATTTACTAATATAACATTTTATAAGTGAACCTCTGAACAAATAATAATAATAATAAAAACTGATCAAACTAATGCAAACCAAAAGTGCTATGATAATTAGGTTTGGGCTTTTTAGTTTTATAACCCACTGTGGTCACATAATTATTCCCCACAAATCAAAGTTAAACACTAAAGACTCCAGGAATTTTTCAACTAAAATTAGATTACTTAGAAAAGCATAACAAAAATTTCTTAACTTACTTGAACCTATTCTAAATACTCAAAAGTATTTTTTGCTTCTGTTTTTGAAAAAGACATTGTCAAGATTTTGATTTTACTATCAGCTGTGTTCAAAAAATAAAATGAAATGTTAAGTGTCTGCAATTTTTCTTTAGGACCGAAAGTAAGGTTTACTTAAATTATATATGAGATAAATTCATTTAAAAAACTTACAAAGAAAGCATGATACTTGAAATAGGAAAATTAGTGTAAATAGTAAAGAATTGAATATTAACCAATTGACTTACAATAAGGTAGTGTTGGATGTGAAGCCATTCTTCTGACATTATTAATAGTTTTCTTAATCATCTGTTAACATACAAGGATTGTTTATGTTTTGTTAAATATGCAACAAAAATAAACCATAGTCTTAAAATGAAAGTGTGACAAGCAATTCAATAATTACATCATTTCTCTTTGACTCCAGAACTACCATTGGGGGTAATGGAAATGTTTAGAAATAACAATAAAAACTAAACTTCATAGCATAGATTTTACATTTACATGTGCATAAAACTTTTGCTTCACTGACTAAGAATCTAAGCATAAAGTCTCCTCAATAATTTAGTCTTACCTCCTTTCTTGCCAATTCCTTTCTGATTCCATTAAATTTATTGGCATATTCCTGAATATTGTAAGATATGAAAGACAGGCAGAAGCATGTAAAAAAAAGAGGTAAATAGAAAATTTAATTTAAAAAAAAAGTTTTTAAAAAAATTGTTTGGGTGTATCAGTTTGGAAGTCATTTATTTACCAGTGTCTGAATTATTTTAGAAGCCTGTCATTTAACAGTAAGAAAATATATAAAAACAAAGGGGCATTGAAGATTTACATGGGAAATGGGGAATATATTATGTGTATATAATTGCATTTAGGTCATGCAGGTCTCTTTTTTCTTTTTTAATTTTATGAGTGCCTAAAGTGGAGGATAAAAGTCTAGACCAACACTAATGATAGGAGGACAGTAGCAACAACAAGAATGCCACCTAACTACAAGATAAAGTAATTATGATGGCTGCATGTTTTCCAAAATAGCCAAAGCTGGCAGTAGCAATCCCTTACTGTCCAATGTGTTTTGGCTCTTTCTCAATAATAATAATGATTAAAGTTAGGGAAACTATATTCCTTCTGATTTCAAAAAATAGAAATTTTCTAATATTATGAGCCATGTTTGGAGTTTTAAAAAGTTTCCTCTAAAACAGTAAGAAGATATGGTAAAAAAAATGTTTTGAAATTTTCAAATAAATCTTTCTTTGAAAGTCAGCAAGAGGGGCAGCTAGGCAGTGCAGTGGATAGAACACCAGCCCCGTAGTAAAGAGGACCTAAGTTCAAATCCGGCCTCAGACACTTACTAGCTATGTGACCCTGGGCAAGTCACTTAACCTTGTTTGCCTCAGGACAAAAAAAGAAAAAAAGAAAAAAAAAGAAAGTCAACAAGAATTTACTGATATTGCCTCATGCATCACAGAAAACAGTTTAAGACAATACAGCAACAGGTGAGGAAATACAAGTGAACAAAGAACAAAAATGGAAACAGTTAAGGCAAAGAATGATGCAAAGCTGTTGTAGAATATCCAAAGAGAATATATCATTAAGATCCACAGAATTAGTAATGAAAATTAAAAATACTTTTTACTTTATGTGTGCACATTTGTCACTTGCTACACTCCCCTGATTCAGCCCAGTTTTCCAAACTAGGAGACCAAGGTCGGAGAAGATTCCTGGCCTAATGAAGAAGCAAAGGGAAAATACATCCAGAAAAGAAATAATAAAGATAACATTTTTCTCCTATAGGCACTTCCTGTTCAGCAAGCATAGAAGAAAATAATCACATTTATAATTTCTACCTCACATTCTGATTATTATGTTTGAAACGAAACAATTTTAAACTATTGTCAGAGGATTTTAGAAGGGCAGCTAGGTGGTACAGTGAATAGAGCACTGGTCCTGGAGTAAGGAAGACTCATTTTCATGAGTTCAAATTTGGCCTCAGACATTAATAGCTGTGACCTGTTAAGTCACTTACCCTGTTTGCCTCAGCTTCCTCGTCTAGAGAAGGAAATGGCAAACCACTCCACTATCTTTGTTAAGAAAACTCCGAATGGGGTTCAGACATAGCAGAAACAACTATTTGCATTAGGTATTTATCACCAAATGACAAATCCAGTTATATTCTGAATAGCTTGTGAGAAGCTAACCATTCTCTTGTTTTTTGGGGGCCATGGCAGCTCATGAAGACCACACACTAAGTTCAGGAGGAGTTGTAATCTGTACTGTTATAGGATATACACTTAAAGATTAAATAATGGATCTACTAAAATATAAATGAAAGGAATTTATATATTGAGAGTGAATGAGGAAGTTATTTCACTGTTAGCTCAGAAATTACCTTAACTGGGTCTAGAATTTAATGCCTAAAATATTTCTATTTAGGAATGATGGCCCTTCAGAAGACTAACGTGCTGTGCATCTTAATGTTACAAAACCATTTTGGGCATCAGTTTCACCATCTCTAAAATGGGCAGAAAGGCAGAGTAATAATGCCCACCCTACAGGGCTACCAGAAGGGTTAAGGATGATAATGCACAGGAAAGGGCTACGACAAATATAAAATGCTATACTATACAACAAATAAGGGAATGCTATTAAGGAATAGTATTTACATAATACACATATTTTCTAAGGCAAAAATTTCCAAGTAAAAGTTAATAGCATGAATTTCTCTGACCTTTGAGTCTCAATTCTTAGATATCAATAAAGGAGACTCTTGGAAAGTCTAGAGCTAATATAAGCACGGATCTATCAACCTTCTTAATCACACACACAGAAATTTTGCATTAGTGTACCAGTGTTTTCTTCAGTCTTAAGTGGTTTTAACTTGGTTACAAAAAGTAAGTTTGAAAAATATTAAATATTTCTTGATCAATATTCAAAATAACGATAATGTTTAATATTGAAAAATTCCTCTGACAAAAGCCTCCCAACAACATCCTGTCTGCTCCTATGCCTCATCCCTATAAAACTTCCTCATTGTACTTACTACCCCTATAAATCTTCTATTTCACCAAGCCATTATACCTGTTTCTGGGTTCACTTTCTTCCTATCTCAATCTTCAACCTTTAAAACCACACCTTGAATCTTTCACTCCCTTATCTTATTGCTGTTTCACCCCTGACTAAACCTCTGCTCTGGTTTACACCCTCTTCCTCCACTTCTGCTAACATGCTGCTGAATGCAGCTAGAAGCACATGGCTATGATGACTGCTAATGCCTTCCCTCCAACAAATAATTTGTATACTTCCAGCTAGAATGCAAGCTCCTTGCTAGTAGTCACTGATTCCTTCTTTGTATTTCTATCTACAGTGCCAAACACAGGGCTAAGCCCATACTAGGTACTTAATAAATCTTTTTAATTGATATTTAGTCTATTAATTTTTAGGTTACCAACTAGGAAAATCATTATGCAGCAAGCATCTTGGTAAAAATACAATTTTATAGTAATTTAAAAATATTTTATACTAATCTCCAAGGTAGAACTTCTGGTGTCAAAGTCACACAGGCTCATAAAACCTTAACAATTAAATTATGAATAAAAGGATTTCCTTCTGTGTGTAAAGAAAATAATAAATTAAAAAAGGACCCCTGAAAACCCCTATCAATTATCAAGAGCCTGAATAGTATAGTAAGTACCATTCGACTTGGAATCAGTAACACTTGGATTCAAATCCTGCATGTGTAATTAATTTGTCTGGGCCTCCATGTCCTTACTTATAAATGGGAATAATAATATCTATAGCATCTACCTCACAAGGCAGTTTGTGAGGCTCAGATGTTATACAACAATAACATTAGCATCATACATTTATATAGAATTTTTAATCTTTGCAAAATAATTCACATATTTCATTTGTTCCTTACACTAACCCTTTGTGGTAGTGGCTATAATTAATTAAAATCATCAGTTATTATTACTGCTGATATTGTTCTTACTTACCACAGATGCCCCTCTGCCAGTCTGTGTACTACCAAGCCAAGGCATATTGATTGGAGTTCCAGGATTGCTATGCGTATATGGTGTGGTACCTTGCACAGATGCTAGGTCATCACGAGCATGTATAACTAAGAAATCATCAGACCTACAAGAGGACATCCACCAAAGTAAAAATGCTGAATCAGGTCCTACTTTTTCAATTTACTAATGATTCAGTTTATTTATAATTTTTAAATAGTCTTTAAATTTACTTTCTTTTAGAATTTATCTTTATAAAGTTCTTTTAGAATAAACTATAAATACCTTGAAACCCAAAATATTCCAAGCCCTTGCTCTTAGTGTGCCTTCTATTAATATTTTCATACTTAAAACTATTCTTTCCATCCGTCTTTATCTCCATCCCTGATGCCTTGCTTATAAAGGTTTTCTACTTTTGAAAACTTTTAAGAAATTAATTTACCATGGGTCCTTTAGCAAGTCTCTGAATATTTAAATTTTATTACTATTGTCTCTAATATTACAAAATAATTTAATCAAAATGAAATAAAAACATACCCTTTTGTTTCAAGTTCTATTTCATCATCCACCCAGGTATAGATTTGTGTAGCCAGAATTCCAGATACATCCAGTTCTTGAATATCATGACTGGAAGCTATTGCTATGCAATTTCTATTTGCCTGAAACATAATAATGAATTATTACAAAAATTTAAGTGACTATTTAAAAAAATAAATTTATTAACAAATAATGATAAACAAAATCATTTGTTCTATAAATGATAGTTTCTGGTGGAAGACTGTTAAAATTATATACTTTAAATGAATTCAGTTTGCTTGCCAAATTTTTCCTGTTAATTATCATGACAGTTTAAGTTCTCAGACAGAAGAATGGGAATGATAAATGTTAATTCAGCTACTATCCCCCTTAGCTTCCTACTTCCAATACCATCTTTTTATCTGTTGACCACTTCTCACCCAACAAAATATACAAATGAAGAAAAAAAAGGTGGACAAATAGAAAGGTGGTTGTTGTTTTTTAAATAAGTAATGACTTATATTATTTGATCACCCTCAGTTTGAGGGCCATTAAGAGTGCCTTGAATACAATGGCCAAAAGATAGGAAGCATTCAATAAATTTTTAAATTTTATTGGACTGATACAATCAAGATAGACCTGAGAATAACTACAACATATAACTCTATCCCTTATCAAATTAAAGTGTTTAAAAAAGCTCTAGAAAGAAACACACATAAACCCAGCCTTCGAAGGCATTTTACCTTTAAACAGGGGTTCAGAGAAAGGAAAAAGGATGATAACAGAAACGCATGATAACAAGTAGTATATGGAAAAGAATTGGGTTGGATAAAGACAAACTTGACAACTTCAACATTTTTCTTCAGACTGACTTTTGAAAAGCTTATAATGGGGCCGAGGCCCAAGGTCTCCACCCCTGGAGTAGCCAATAGAGATATTATTAAGTGACATTTATACCATATATTAAATTTTGTTAATTGCTTTATTTAAATTATCTCATTTAAGTCCAACAGTATCCTATTGCACTGCGGGCATTATTACAAATGAGGAACTACTTCAGAAAAGTTAAATGACATGACCCTTATCATATAACTAGTGTCAAAGGCAGGTGTTAGAGCCAAATCTTTCTATTTCCAAGTACAGAATTTTATATACTATTTATTTATGCTACCTGCCAAATAGGATAAATTCAATTCAATAAATACATACTAAGTGACTATTATATACAGTACTAGGTTCTAGGAATATAAAAACAAGGATGTCACGTGAAAAGCATAGAAATCAGATGAGAAAGCAAAGAGTATAAAAAGAAGATAAAAAGGAATATTTCTATGACTAAAAGAGCACATTTTAAAAAGTACTTACTCTATTAACAGCAAAAGCAGTAATAATGTCAGATTCTTTATGGATAATTCTTGCTTTACCTCCTGGGAAACCCAATTCAGCTTCTATCTGTATAGAGGGGGAAAAGAATATACAAGAAAATGTAACAATCAGAGTGCAGAAAAAGATTACAGAAAAAGAATATTTAAAAATATTTGATACTTGTGGCTTATGGTTTCCACCAAGAAAATTTCAAAAGAAATTTGATATGAAGCTGGCAAGCAGAGAAAAATAAATTTCTATGTAAGAATGTAACATTTCATTGAAATATGTTGCTTATATATATGAATATATTTTCTTGAGCTAAAAAAATAGTTATATACAATGTATCCCTCATTCTCATTCTGTAGTGTCACAGGATACCAAGTAGGGGACTATAAATTGTAAAAAAAGAAAACTTTGTGAACTCTTATTTTGAGAGGAAGACTTATTCTTATGAGAAATGGGATACTGACATAATCTGATGATGCACGCATAGAGGCATTTAGCCCTCCACCTCTCATCCCCATCCATGGAGCTCAGACCCAGACATAGAAGGTAACATAATTATCGATAGTTTAGAAAGATATGAGTGGAATATCAGGGCACAGCAGAAGGGGGGAGGGGACTTAGATTTTTTTAAAATAAATCAACAGGCTACTACTATCCAGGAATCAATAAATTAGGTGAATCTAATTCACCACAGATTCACTACTATTGGGTAGGAGAGGGGAAGGCAAAGGTCTGTCTCTAATGGCCTAAAATGGTAGGGGATGAGAGACAGAATAGATTAGATCGGTAAATCTAATCTAATCTAAGATTAGCCAGTCAGCCAAGAAAAAAATTTCTTATTTTTTGCATTTAGATAGCTTATGTAATATGCCAAAGCTTAAAATAATAGAAGTCAGAGGAGCTCTGTGATAATTCTCCTATGACTCAGAGTATTTAAAAAAATTATCATAAACTTAATGTCAAACAAGAATACTAATTATACTTTCCTCAGAATTACTTAAACAAATCAAACAAATTTTCACACATAAAAAGTAATAACATTTCCATCACTTCTTCTAAATTTCTATAAGGTGTCTTTGTTCATATAGATATTCATATTCTATTCTAATGTGATCCAAGTTAGTGTATACTTTGTCCTAATTCTGGTTTTTTTGGCTTTGTGTGATTTCAAAAAAGTCTGTCTAGATTTTTTTTAAAACTTCTCATCCTTGTTGATCTTCATTATATTATCCCATTAATTAATGTACAATTTAATGTTAATAATGTATTATTCCATGGCTTGGGGGACATTTTAAGTTGCCTGAAGCCTTGAAATATCAAATAAAGCTGTTATGAAAACTTTGAACAGATCATTTTTTCCCTAAATAAATAAAACTTTCATAATAATTCCCCAGAATGAAATAATTGAGTTAAAAACTAATTATTTTTGTAAATTTTTCTTCATCCTGCTGGGCTGCTCTCTAAAAAGATACTACAAACTTGTAATTCTCAAAGAATTTCCCTCCCTCATTCCCATCTATGCACTAGTTTTCATTGGTTATAAAGTGATTTTGTTGTTGTTGTTTTGCAAATCTGATTGGTATTTTAAAACTTTTAAAATTTGTGTTTCTTGGTTATTAATGAAGGTGGCCATTTTTCAAGTGAATATTGACAATGAATTTCCTCTTCTGATATTACAGATTTATTTCCAACCATTTATCCATTGTGAAAATACGTAAATGTTAACAATTCCTTACATATTATAAATGTCAAGTTTTTAGGTCACATTTGGCATACTTTCTCAAGCTGTTTCTTTTTTTACTTTCAATTATATTTGTTTCACATTGTATAGAATTTTTTTTAATGCCCCAATAATGTGTCCCTATTAACTTTTTCTACTAAACAGAAGAAAATGTCTCCTTTTCAAATAAGATAAGTAAATTATTCCTTTTTTTTTTAAGTTTAAATCTACCATTCTAGTAGAATTCACTGTGGCCTAAGAAATAAGTTGTAGGTCTAAATCTATTTCCCACAAAACCACTAGCCAACTTGCCCTGCCATATTCCTTCCCTCAGTATTTTGTATAGATTGAGTGCAAACACTCAATTTAAAAAATACATTTGGTTGAATGTTCACATATCCAGTCTTGATCTATAACTTCAAGAAGGCTGCTAAGATTAATGGTTGCTTAGAACATACAAGTAGTTTTCCCCTCTATGGAAAGGGATAAAAGTCAGAGAACCTGTTAGATTCTAATCCTGGCTCTGCTTACTCTGTGAATTAGACAAGATGTTTAAACTATCTGAGCCTCATCTGTAAAATGAGGGAGTGTTATTAGATGACCCCTAAGGTCAGCTCTATAAATCCATAATGATCTCATGAACTGTGAATATCCATTAATACAATGGTCCTTTGCTTTAACTTATTATATTATGCATTCTATTTGTGTTGTTGTCTTATTGCCTAGTATACAATGAGTCCTGATAAATGCTGTTATTAATAGCTACAACTTCCATTCTAAACACTTATATAAAAGAACCATCTTCAGAAATACAACTAAAATATCTAAGGTGGCAAAAGAATGAAAAAGAAGCAACTTTAGTCACTGTCAGGTTATGAAGTTTAAGTTTATGTCAACTGGTGAATAAATATTACAAATTGTACAGAAACCTAAAAGTCAATATAAAATGGCAGACAGCCACCTGGGATGCTCAATAACTGAATGAACAGGTGATTAAAAAAAGAGATGATATGGTTATACTTGAAACTAGGCACCAGAAACTATGCACAAAGATATAATAAAATGGTCAAAACATTCACAAGAAATATAATTGTTAAGATATGAAGTAAATAAGGTCATATAGAATGAAACTAAAATTCAGAAATAAACTATGTTTACTGACATTGATGTTAACGGAATCATTTCCTACATTTTTATAACTTATCTCATTATGCGTACTTGCCAGTCATTGCAAAAATCATATGGCATCACAAAACACTAATTTACTTTACTCAGAATATTTAAGTCATCACGATAAATATTAAGGAAAGAAATGTTCTTTAGCAGAAAAGGTGTCTGTTGTGTTGCTGAAAGCATGAGACAAGATTATCATCAACAAGGACTAAAATACTCATCGTGAGCAAAGTTGAAATCTTAAAGAAAACATCTTACTGTACCATTTTCCTACTTAGCAGATATTTCATGAAAGAGCGAAAAAGAAGCAATGCAGCTTGAACCACTGGATTCAAGTTAGGAGACTGAGTCTCAGCCCTAATTCCACCAATAAAATGACTTTGAATTCTTCTTTAATAAGGCATAAGAAAAAATTGGGTATTATATAAAAGCAACGTATCCAAAGATTAATATGATCAATATGGTATAGGCTTTGGAAAGACAGGCACGGTAATGAATTGCTGGTGGAGTTGTGACCTGGTAAGACAGTTCTGGAGAACAATTTGAAATTGTTCTAACAAGAAAAGAAGGAACAAAACCACTATCTACTCTTTTATCCAGCAATATGACTACCAGAGATACACACCTCAAGTTAGTCAATGACATACTTTTTAATATCAATATCTAACTATAAATAAAAAACATGAGACCTTTCCCATCTGTTTTTGACCAACATGGGGTAAAATTATAAATATTTAGCAGCACTTTTTATTAGCAAGGTGGTTATCCACCAATCTGGGAATGAATGAACAAATTATGGTATGTGAAATTAGTGAAAAATGGTGGTCAATAAGAAATGACAAATATAAAGAATTCAGAGAAACTTAGCAAGGTATGTATAAATTAGTGCAGAGCAAAGTAAGCAGGCCTTGAGAATAATTTATCAAATGTTCTCAATAATGTAAAGAAAAACAATACCAATGACTTCCAAATCCTGATCGAGGCAATAAGCAATCATGATTTCAAGCCTCTGATCTTTTGGCAAAAAGATGGAACAGGTAAGAAACAAGGTATACATTTTCAAACACAGATACTGTATTGATTTATGAGACATCACATTGATTTATGTTGCTTGACAGTATTTATTTGCTACATGAGAAGGATCTACTGTAGGGAGGAGGGTGAGGCAATTATTACTCAGAGGGATATAAAAAAAGTATATCAATAGGACTTTTAAAAAGAAAAAAAAACAAACAAAATATTAAAGCAACATCTCTGGAAGAAAGCCTTAAGAAACTGAGAGTATCATAACTATCTTCTCAATGACTGGGTAAAAAAGGTGAAACAATAGTTCCTTATAGGTTGATTCGTCTCTTTAATAATTCATGTACACGCCATGGTTTAATATACTTCAAGGTATCTTACAAGCAGTGCTCCAAAAGAATACCCACATACCAACACTACACAACCTTAAATAAAACAAACTACTGGAATATTTTCCAGTATGATCATAACCGCCTCTATTGATCATAATGTTTAAATCAAAAGGGTCAAATATAAACAATGAGTGTGAGACACTGAAATTTCATTTATTGAACAATCAACTAGGTGTAACTGGGGCCTGAAGTCAGGAAGATCTAAGTTCAAATGTGCTCAAAAGACACTGACTAGCTGAGTGACCCTAGGCAAGTTACCTAATCTCTGTCTGACTCAACTTCCTCAACTGTAAAACAACAGCATTTATCTCACAGGGTTGTTGTTGAGGATCAAATGAGATAATATTTATAAGGCACTTACCACAGTGCTGGCACATAGTAGGCACTATATAAGTGCTTATTCCTTTTTGGCAGAGAAAAGGAAGCAAGGGTAATAAAAACTATTGTCTGAAAACATTAATTGGTGACATCAAAGTTTCCAAAAACCAATCACTTCTAGACACTTTAATATTTTATACATAAAATCAGAAGGAAAAAAGTTGCAGATAAACAAAATAACTCCTCATTGGTTCACTTAAGAAAGAGAAACAAAGGAGTTGGTTTCATTGAGTACCCAAAGGGAACAAGAAATAACATTTCATGGAACAATTAGAAATCTGACTTTGTAATGCTCATAACTTCTACAAAGGAAAGTAAAATTTACCTCTACCACTGACATGGGAATATAAAAGAAATTCTAAGAAGTACTTGACAAGATCCTACAAACCAAG